TACAGAGACAGAAATGGGAATGGAAAAGGAGATAACTGAGTGTAAGTGGGGGGAAAGGCCAAAAGAAAGAGCAAGAGCAAAAACAAAGAAAGTGAGGAAGTGATGAATAGATCTGAGGGTTTGAGAGAAGCGATCAGAGATTGCTGGGAAGAAAGGAAGAACGCTCCCAGTGGGGTTTTGAGCACTTTATCCACTATGTGTTCAATCAGATCTATGAACAAGGACATCGATGTGTAACTGGAAGACTGGCTGATCAGCAAAGTGATGGAGACAGAAGAAAAAATGTTAAGAGTTCTGGGAACTAAGAGTCAGGGAGGAGTACTCCCAACGGTATGCAGCAATGGACATTTGCACAAAAATGTTTCCAGTGTGTCCAACATGTTGCCAATCCATCTGCACAGCCACAATGTCTTACATCACACAACTCCTAATAGACAAACAGAAACATGAGGCGGCCATTTCAGGGGAACTATGCAATCTGAGAAATGTCCTTGTTGTGCTGTCTTCCCTGAACCCAGATCCAGCTTTTACAAACCAAATTACAGTCTGAAAGGGAAATGTGCCTACTGCAATCTGTATTGATTATGTGACAAATACGATTCTTGTTCCACTGGCAATCTGCTTTATCGGAAATGTTCTTTTTATTAGGTTTTTCTTTTTCCTGCATTGTGTGAGAAGAAATGCTGGCAGAGAAAGATCATTTTAGACAAAAAAGTACAAAAACAAACATCCAAATCAGATACAACTCTGCTTATAAGACACATCTGATTAGTTCATACTTTACAGATAAAGTTAACAGACAAGGTAACACTATTTTGAAATTTGTTTGATGTGGCCAGTCATCAGTCATGGGATCAAGTATCGACATGAACCAGCATAGGGGCATTTTCCAAAAAGTGTGCGTGTGTGTGTGTGTGTGTGTCACGGTCAAACTAGCTTCACACATTTAATTGTGTTTCAGTTAATTTTAACTGACCTTCCTATCGATTCTGTATCTTTTAAATTCAAGTTAGCTATCAAAATGAATCTAAAGAATCAACTGTCAAATTATCAACTTTACTGCATGTCTCATTTTGGTTTCGCTTTTATTTAGCTAAAAGCTCACTGGGAAAGAAAGCAGAACTTACTGGGAAATTTTCCACAGTAGCTGTTTTGTACTCATCTAGGTTTCACTTTTAGTAACCCTGAGGTGTGTGTGTGTGTGTGTGTGTGTGTGTGTGTGTGTGTGTGCACGCCGTGGGCTCACCCTCTCTGGTGAGCACTGTGATTGGTATTCCTGGGTCACTAAGCTTGATGAAAGGCCCTCCTTCATCGGTGTCCAGTCCGTCTCTGGCAAGCAGAATGTTCTTAGCACACACAAAGCCATGCACCAGCCTTTTGTCCTCCTAAAAACATACACAGCAAAACACACATATTAGTCCACAATCAAGAGGCCATGTTTTTACATTAGGTTTATGAAATGGGC